TATTTCCATAAATCTCCACATGATCAAATATCTCCAAATTCGTTCTTATATCACAAACTAATCACTAAAATTCCCGTTAATTGTTGGCCCTCGGGGTGTGAACAGTGTTGGTGAACAGCACCCGTGAACAGTACCCCGACGTGAACAGTAACCCCGACTTTCACAAATTGGCCAAAACACTAGCTAATTCCACAGGATTTTCTCCAAAAATCACAGCAACTAACCAAGCTAATTTACACTTAAACCAAGCTTAAAAACATAGCTTAAGCTATCAAAATTCATCCCCAATTTCTGCAAACTTTCGGACATCACAGGGGCAGCCAATCCATGGACAAAATTCAACAATTAAAGGGGTAAATTAGGACTTAGAGAAGCTGCTACATACCATAAATCCAGCAAGCAAAACCGGAGTGCAGATTGGGGAGGAGGCCGGCGGCAAGTGTAAGGGAGAAACTCACGGAACTACCCAAAATTGAAGGAAATAAGAGCAATCAAAGTTAACCCAAGCCAATTCAAGCAAGAACAAAGGAATTAGGGGCTGTTCTTACCCAAAAAAAAAAAATGCCCAGAAATCACCCACCCACATAGCAGCCGGCGGAAAGACAAAGCAAAGCAGGGCAGATTCGGCTTTTCCAGCAGGGGGAAAGAATTTCTGGGTTCCAAATCAGGTTCTAGAACAAGAAAGGAAGGAGAAAATACCAAGCTTCCTTACCAATTTTCCAAGGCATGGCTAGGTTCTCTTTTTTTTTTCTTCGGGCTGCTGCAGCAGGAAGACAGAGCAGAACACGCAGGGAAGAAGAAGAAAAGAAAGAAAGAAAGAGAAAAAGAAAAGAAGTCATCCTTATCCAAAATCTTTCCCTCTTTAAGTCCCTCAACTTTTAGAATATTCACATTAGGCCCCAAAACAATCTTTTCTCACAATCAAGTCCCTAACTTACACTTAAATATTCCCGAAAATTTGGGATATTTCACTCACCCCTCCTAAAAAGGAGTTTTGTCCCCAAAACTCAAATTGGGGATCATTTCGAGTGGTGAATGGCTTCACACAATCCAAGACAAAACAAATGTCCCACTCACTTTCTATGAACAAAATGGCCTACTACGCTTCTGCTGCGCCACTCTGATATCAAATCACAACAAATCATAAAAAGCAGAACACTAATCACTTAACAGGATTTACCATGAAACAAGCTACTAGAGGTTGGGGTGACATGGGAAGCACAAGGAATAAAAACAAATCCTGCCAAAGCCACAAAAGAACAATTGTGGGGTTACGCTACAAACCCATCACAAGACGAGTTGGCAAAGAATGGCATGGATTTAAAGATGAGTACAACAAAACTTTGAACTCTATCAAAGACAGATAAGCATCCAATGGATGTACGAATCATGAATAAATGAACAAGTGCATGGATGCCTTATAAATTCTGCCACAAAACAAGGTTAACCAAAACCAAGATCATGTTTAACAAGCAATTGGAATCAAGAGGCATATTTTAGCAATTAACAAGAGTTAAAAGTTAGGACCATCAAAAGACATATAAGGATCTCAAGAATGGCAACAAAATAAAATCAATGGAAAATATGAATGCTTGGAAAAATATTGGAACACAAGAGTGCAAGGTAGAATGCCTCAAAAATTTGGCAACAAAACGGCATTCACCAAGAATCAAGATCACATTTAACCAAGCAGTCAAAATTGAGAGACAAGAGTTAACCATCAAACAAGCAATAGAATTCCAAAAAATTTAGGCCCACAAAAGAGATTCCAATAATGACAACCAGAACACGGATTCAAGAGCAGATATAACTAGGATATCAAGATCTAGCACCTCAAGTACTAGAATTAATTAACAGAACAAGCAATGGCTGGGATCAAGATGTTTAGAAGATTCATGTCTTCTAATTAAAAGGGCAAATAAAAATCCAAGCAGCCAGATAAAAGAACCATTTCTCTTGGAACAAAACTCTAGGGCATCAGGTACTTCAAAGACTACCCCTTCACCTCGTAGCTCATGGAGGCTAAGCAGGTTTACAATCAAGTCATCCTAGACATCCTAGGGTCATGTCAAAGCTAAGACATCGAGGATACAGAGATTAACACTTGCAAGGGACAGGAATTTAGAATACCTCATATAGGTATCTTCTGATAATCGTCACCCCTCCTAAAGAGGTGTCCATATGAAAAAAAAATCAAAAATCAAGAAGATCATCAGGTATACTGACACAAGAACTAGCAGAATATGCAAGATTCAAGCAAGAGCAGTATACAAAATTTGAGCAAGAGCAGAGTCAGAACAAGAACGTTTCCAAGGACAACTCAAACTAGATTCCAAGAACAATGCAAGAATTAATTTTAGACAAGTATCAAGATAATGAGGATTTCAATAATCATTATCCATTTCTGGATTTCAGTTTCAATAACAAGTACAAAGCAATATCAAGAAAGATTCAAGATGGATTTCAAGAGTTTCAAGCAATTTCCAGATATCAAGAATGTAGAGATTGGCAACAATAGAGTTTAACTTTATGACAGTTTGCCAATCTTCACAAAACATGGCAATTTCAATTGAATCGATCACTGTTTTTGATTAACCAATACAGAAAAATGAGCCACATGAAAAGACCACGAAGCTCCAAATGGAAAAAGTGAAACTTCACTATAAGACTTTCAGAAGATAAGGAGCAACGGAATTACCAAGTTATCCAGCTCCTAAAATGCATCTAGAAAACATACAACATTGCTAAAATAGCCTGGAATCTCTTACAAAGTAGAGGGTTTACCCATCCTCCACTGGTCATGTGACAAACAAAACAAATTCTCCACCAGCTATGCTGTAGAGACAAACAGAGTCAATAACAAAAGATCTCTATAACTCCCCAGATTTCAACATTGTGGCAAAAGAGCATACAAAAATTCTATTCAAATAACAAGTCTAAACAAGTGCGAACAATCAAAAAATGACCAAGTTCAAAACAAGGTCTTCAAGACATAACGGGCAAGATTACTTTCACAACTTCACACAGAGTATGAAGGCAAGAAACAAGAACAATCAGATCACCATCTCAACGAAATGGATGAGAAAATTCAGGCAACATGAATAAGAATTGTCCCTTATAAAACCCCATCACTTGTCTCACCACGGGTCTAAAATCAATTGGCTAGCCAAGTCCAAAACAAATCCTAGGTATTCAATTAAACCTAGGCTCGGATATCACTCAATCTGCTCTGATGCCACTCAATCTGAAGGCGCTTAATTTAATCTTAAACTCTTAATTTCAACCTAAGCTCTTAATTTAAACTTATGCTCTGATAACACTAAATCTGTCACGCCCCAGAACCCAAATCCGGGGACGTGGCAGACGCCGTGCACTCGTGAGACAAGTCCCACAAATGCACAAGGCTCGGAACTTATCACACCACAATCTGATACCATCAAAATCTGAAGATCAAATTATAAGATTTCTCCGATCATAAATCTCCAAATACACTCT